AGTATTTTAATGTGCAGTTGTTTGGAGATTTGTATTAGTAATAATAAAAACATGTATTCTGACCTCAAAAAGCTGACCAGTATAAATGACTGCTTATATTTCTTAAAAAAAAAAAAAACTCAAAAAATAAGGAAATATAGAATAACCTAATATGTTTCCTTAATTTGAAAGTCTGCTCATACAGTTCCAAAAACTTGCTTTAAAAAAAAAAAACAGTTGGGTAACTTCTTTTTAAAAATGGAATAGTTCATTTTTCCTGGTGTTTAGTCCTTGAGAATCATTAGCATAGTCGTCTTGTAACAATGACTGCCAACAGTTGGTGTGTCACATCTGAGCTTTCAGCAGATCATGAAGACATGGACCCATCTGATTTATCCTATACGTTCAACACCTAGCACAACTAGCACAGTGTCTGGCTCGTAGTAGTTGCTTAGAAAATGTCTGTAGAAAGGTGAAATGAATGCTTCTAATGTCAGACATGCTTATGGGGACAATACAGAACTTTGCTTAATATTCCCTCTCAAATGTATGTATGATATTTGCTTTTAGAAAATAGTGTTCATCCTTTAGTACTTTCCTAAGCAAGAATTTGGGGAAGAATATAGGCAAAATCCATGATTACAGCCCACAGCAGCGATTTTTAAATTTTTTCTAGTAAAGTAGGTGTTAAAAGAATAGCTAGTATAATTTTAGAGGAATTAAATATTTAACTAGTGTGTTATCTTAGGTGTGTGGTTTTTTGGGGGTGGGGAAGATGTTTTGATGAAATGGTGTGTCTACCACTTGTTTGTGGTAGTTCACAGTTCATGGCATGGCTACACCGTAATTTATGAATGAGTCTTCTCTGGGTATAGGTTTAGAATGTGTATATGTGCACATGCACACACACCTACCTTTCCGTACATGTCTTGCTGTTTCCTCAGAGTAAATTATAAATACACATACTGTATACAATCACATATGCGTTTCGTTGTGCATACCCAGTTGAGTGCTGTTTTAGAGGCAGCTTATGACCATGCCTGGCAATAAAAGCTCAAGGATTTACATATTGTTGTCTTCATTGCCTACACTTCATTGCCCAAAGTAAAGTGACTGCTTTGGTTAAAATAAATACGTTAGTGAACACAAAGTGGCTTGAACAATAAAGGAATTTATTATTCCTTATCAAACAGCTGGTAAATTTCATTGAAGGAGGAAAGGAAGAGTGAGTCCATAATTATTAATTCAAGAGCTTCATGAAGAACTGCTTTCTCACATCTATCACTTGCCATGCTTAGTGAGCCCGCTGTTCCCTGAACTAGTCACACTGCACGATACAGTGCTTACCCTGGTTTCGGGAGTCATATTCGAATCAAAGGAAGAAAGGGCCAACTCTTTATTAAGGTTCCTGTTTAAGAGAAGTGAAGTGTTTTTGTGAAGTACTCAGGAAATTTGCACTCACATTTTATTTTCCATAATTGAAGAAATAGAATGGGACCACCATAACTAGCTTAAGCCATTGCTTTTCATTAGTTTTGAAGATGAAACACACTAGGAAATGCATGTTACATTATGACCACAGCACTCATCACACATGTATGTATTTGAGCACATATATGTCTGTCTTTACAACTAAATATAATTAAAACCAGGCGTTTCTTAGAATAATACTTAACTTTTGCATAATAATTAAGTCAAATTTATTCCATTTATATTTAAATGTCTTTAATACCACAAAATAAAAATTAGAAAGGTGTTAATATATAGGCATAGACTATTTTTTAGGGTGTTTTTATTTTTTGGTCCAGAGCATGAGGACAGTACTATGTCCATAAGTGAAAGTGTCCAGAAAGTTTCTGGAAAATCTTTTACTGAAAATAGCATATATAGATTTCAAATAGTTTTTACCAAAATAAATGTGTCTCTGTTTTTTTAACTTGGATTAACTTTTTGAAGTCATCCATATAGGTACCTGATTAACCCTGTCTTTTTACATTTTAATTGAGTGAAGACTTAGAATACTATACAGATCAGTCATTGTGCCTGGTAAAATGAACTTAATAATAATTGATTCAGAAAAATTAATCGATGAATTCTATGTTCAATGGAAGGGAATCACATTAATAGACAAATCTAGAATTGGAGGATCTTTGGGAACCATCTTTGAGAACATGCCTTGCTGAAAGTATGAAAAGATACAACTGAATGCTGTATATGATCCTGGATTGAATTCTAGGTTGTGAAAAAAATTCTGTAAAGAGTATAATTGGGGCAATTGTTAATATATAGGGTGTAGATTTTGATAACATTGTTAGACTTGTGCATTTCTTAATTTAAATAACTATGGATACGTAAGACAATGTTCTTGTTACTTAGAAATAAATGCTGAAGTACCTATTTGCAGGAAGGCTATGTGGGAGTTTTTTGCACTACTCTTAGATTATTTTTTAATTAAATTTGAAATTACTTCAAAATTGTTTTTATTGGAAAGGCAGATTTACAGAGAAGGAAAGAAAGGTCTTCTGTCCACAGGTTCACTCTACAAGTGGCCAGAGTAGCCAGAGCTGAGCCAATTCAAAGCCAAGAGCCAGGAGTTTCTTCCAGGTTTCCCATGTGGCTACAGGGTCCCAATGCTTTGAGCCATCCTCCACTGCTTTCACAGGCCACAGGCAGGGAGCTGGGAGGGAAGTGGAGCAGCAGGACATGAATGAGCACTCATGGATCCCGACACATACAAGGTGAAGATTTAGTCACTGAGTCATCACGCTGGTTCTTGAGTTCACCCAGAATCTGGTTCTTGAGTTCACACATGCTAAATACATCATGTGTGTTTTATGGTATGTGTCCTTTTAGTATGATCTTGGAGTTAGCATGAAAATATTTTGCTGAGAATTTTGTGTCCATTCATAAAGGTACTGTCTGTAGCTTTTTATGATGTTTTTAACTGGCTTTAGTGTGCTGGCCTCATGGAATGAGTTTGGAGGCATTCCTCTTTTATTTTTTGTAAGAGTTTGAGAAGAATTGGTGTTAATTCTTCTTGAAATGTTTGGTAAATTCAGCAAGGAAGCTGTCTGATCTGAACTTTTTTTTTTATTGAGAGACATTCTGATTATGGATTGAATTTCTTGCTAATAGGTCTGTTCAGTTTTTCTGTTTCTTCTCTACTCACTGCACCACAGTAACACTCTCACTTCGTAATTCTTTATTTCCTACAACCAGGGACCAAATTGATCAGCGGGTACAAAAGAGATACCAGTAAGCAAAGCATTCTGCCCCATTCTATATTTTATGCTTTTCACATGATAGTTTCAGTATGCAGTATTATTTATTCTAGTATTAGTTCCATGTTAAGGATATGTTCACCCTGCTCTGGGCAGGGTATTCTATTTCTTTCTTGATTTTTCCTTTCTAATGGAAAGTATTCAAATTAATTTTAATGACTCACTGTTTACCCTTCAACCCTCAGTTTACAAAACCACTGATTTAACTAATGGATATCATCTACAAGAAGTGAGGCCAGCTTCTCCAAAGCATGTGGCCTACATAAATAGAGGCATGAGGAGCTGACATTGTGGCACAGAGGGTGAAGCTGATACCCATATGGTATGCCTATGACACTGGCATCCCTCCTGCTCCATTTCTGATCTGGCTCCCTACTAATATACCTGCAAAAAAAAAAAAAAAAGTGGAGTAATGCCTATGTGCTTGGGCCCTTGCCACCTACATGAGAGAACTAGATAGAGTTCCATTGCTGGCTTCAGCCTGGCCCCAGCCTGGCCCAGCTTAGCCATTGCGGCTATGTGGGTGTGAACCTGTGGATCAGAAATATCGGTATCCATCTGTCTCTGGGTTTTTGCTTCATAACTCTGCCTTTTAAATGAATAAGTCAGGGGAGAGAGAGAGAAGAAAAAAGGGAGGGAGGGAGGGAGGGAGAGAAAGAAAAGCGCTGGTATTGTGTACTGAGCCTCTCCCTGTGGGTACCAGCATCCCATGTGGGCACCTGTTCATGTCCCAGCTGCTCCACTTCTAGTCCAGTTCCCTGTTTTTGCCCTGAAAAAGCAACAGAGGATGGCTCAAGTCCTTTGGCCCCTGCACCCAAGTTTCATCTGGGTCTTCCACATGGCTGACATCTTCCACTGCTGTTCCCAGGTCATAAACAGGGAACTGGGTCAGATGTAGAGCAGCCAGAACACAAATCACTGCCCATAAGAGATGCCAGCATCACAGGTGGTAGGTAGCTTTATCCACTATGCCACAGCATCATCTTTGTTTTTTCAGGCTTTATTTATTGACACACAGTGTGGCACAGACAGAAGGAGGAGGAGACGGAGATTTTTCATCTATTATCTTGCTCCCCAAATGGCCATAACAGTCGAGGCTCAGCAGCCCAGAACTCTATGCTGATCTCCCACTTGAATGACGGGGGTGACTTGTTTGATCCATCTTCCTCTGTACACTCTGATAAAGGATTCCAGCATCACAGATGGCAGTCTAACCTGCTGCTTTACAATGCCAGCTCCTTTGTTTTTTCTCTTAAAAGAAATTAAGGAATCAAATACATGTGCAAGTTAGGATAACACCATGATGCAGGCCATGAATGAAACAGATCTGTATGCCTCAAAGTGACCCTCAGGCCACATTCCCTCGAACTTGCTTCAATGGACAATTCTTAATCAAACAGCTAAATCTAAGGCCAAACAATCTGAATATTAACAAACTGTACAGATGACACTGAGACAACCTCAAGTTGGAGAACCACTGTGTTAGTAGAAATTTGAGCAAAGGGGAAAAAAAATCAGTGTTGTTATATTCAATTCAGATATCTGAATATCTTAGAAAGTAAGAAAACAAAGATTCCTGAAGTTCAGCTCAATGACATCTGCTAACAATGTTTGAGAGGATGAAGAAATTGACCATGGTGTCTGTTAGCCAACTACCAGCATTTATAGACAGAGTAATGGCATAGTCCGTGCACTGCATCTCCTTCAGTGTTGATTGATATTTGATCTTTGTCTTTGCAGCATGATGTATCCCAGACGTTACTCAAGGCAACACTGGACAGTGTTGTAGAAGAATGTGTCAGCTTTGTGGGAGTAGATATTAACATCTGTTCAGAAGTTTTGTTAAGGTGAGACAAGAAGTCTGTGGCTGAAGATCACAGAATCTCAAGTTTAACTGCTCCCCATCCCCCACCAGTCCAACCTCAGCCATAACAGGGAGACACACATGTGCAGAGCTGTCAAGCACAGGAAAAGTCAGGCCTTACACATTGCTTTGGATAATCAGTCAGAGGGGAAGACATCATTTAAGAAAAGAATTGTAACAATTCACATTATCATTTTTAATATTGCAAATCTGAAGTGAAGAGCATATGGTAACCATTGAGTGCATTAGTTTCGCTAATAGAATTTAAATAAGGTTAACATGGAAAAGAGCTGTTTCCCACCACATGAGAATAGAGATTTTTCCTAGTTCAGTCTCTTGCGTGCATCTGTCAAAATTGGCAATATCCAAGAGATAAATTCTGATGGTTTCAAGGTATAGTTGCCATAATTTTGCCCTGATTTCACAAGTCACCTGTCAAAATTTCCATCATACAATTACATCTTACATTTTTCTCGGTTTCTTCTGTGTGGTTACAGGAGAGCTGCTTTTGGTTGTTGTTGTTGTTCCTGGCTTTGCATTTATTACCCAGGTCTGCTGATACAGCAGGAAATTTCCTGATTTGGACCTTTTTCATTGAAACTGATACGGCAGAAGGTACTGCTTCTGCCTTAAGGTATTGCTTTTCTACCACAGTTATACAGACATTTCATAGTTATGCAAATTTAGTTACATAATAAGAATTAAGATTCTTGGAAATAACAATGTTTTTACCCCTTGAGTCCCAGTTTTTCCATTCTATAAATATTTCAATGTTTATTTTAGAGTTAGCACCAAAAGTGTGTTTGTGGCTCCTATGTCCAAGTTCCTATATATAGGATGATGGGACATAGTGGGTTTATTGCTACCAAACAATCTCCCTAATGTCAGTATTTTCATACTAACCATGGCATTCATGGGTAAGTGCCTTTCTGTGTTTTAGCTCTACATTCTTCAGTACAAAATAAGAGTAGTGACACAGTTGTGAACATTATAACTTTAATTGTTAATTGTCTTTACAAAACTAAAGGAAAATATGCAGGATTCTTTCTTGAAGTTAGTTTTATGGTGTAGTGGATAAAGCCACTGCTGGTAACATGGGCATCCCATGTGGTCAAGTTTGATTCCTGGCTGTTCCACTTCCAGACCATGCTCCCTGCTAATTGGCTTGGAAGAGTATCTGAGAATGGCCTAAATCTTTGGGCCACTGAACTCAGGTTGGACAACTGGCTCCTGGCTTTGGCCTTGCCAAGTCCTGGAAGTCGTGTGGGAACTAAAAAAGTGGATGAAAGATCTTTCTCTTTGTCTTTCTACATCTGCTTTTCTCTTTCTGCATCTAGACTTTTTAATAAATAAGTAAATCCTTTTAAAAATTTAAATATTTTTGAGGGGCGGCCCAGCTCGGTGGCCTAGCAGCTGGGGTTCTCACCTTGAATGCACTGGGATCCCATATGGGTTCCGGTTCTGGTCCTGGTGGTCCTGCTTCCCATCCAGCTCCCTGCTTGTGGCCTGGGAGAGCAGTCAAGGACGGCCCACGGCCTTGGGACCCTGCACCTGCATGGGAGACCCAGAGGAAGCTCCTGGCTTCTGATTGGCTGCTGTGGTCTTTTGGGGAGTGGGTCATTGGACAGAGAATCTTCCTCTCTCTCCTCCTCTCTGTATCTCTGACTTTGTAGTAGAGGTGAATAAATCTTATAAAAATATATTTTTTGGTTCAGAAGTACAAGGAATCTGATTAGCTCAGAAATAGTGTAGGTCATGGCTGTTTTTCTTGTGTAGTATTTTACCTGCATCTTTATGACAGATACTGATTTTGTTATTGTTTTGGTTCAGTTGTCCTCTCTTCTTAGACATCTTTTTCCTCTTTGTCCTTTTTATTTAACTCTAATTTGATTAACTTAGAGTGTGGGTGCAGTTGTTTTTGTACTCCCCATGTTCGTGTCACTCTCTCCAGGTGAGGTATGGGTTGTTTTCTCATGTTATTTACTTTATTTTTTTTTTAAGGCATATTGCAGGACTCAATGCCAACAGAACCAAAAACATTATTGAATGGCGAGAACAAAATGGGCCCTTCATCAACCGAGAGCAGCTGAAGGAAGTGAAAGGGCTGGGTCCAAAATCCTTCCAACAGTGTGCTGGGTTCATCAGAATCAACCAGGATTACATTCGAACATTTTGCAGGTGATTATTTAAGTGTATCGTTGTAGCTACTGATTCCAGATGTCCACTGCCCACACCTTCATTTAATATGTCCAGAAACCTTTGCTAGTTACTGATAGCAGTGAACAAGTTCGCAAACAAACTGGATACGTAGTTTTTGTGTAATATATAATACAGAAACTGTAACAGGGAACTCTAACACTGTCTTGGGAAACAGTTTTATTGAAACGCTATTTGAGCATCATTTTTAGTAAATCAGAGAAATTAGCTGCACGGAGATTGGAAACATCACAGGAAGGTCATCATTAAGTGTGCAAAGGCCCAAGACAGGACCAAGAAAGGAGGGAAAGAAATGGGGCCAAGGTCTGCAGGATTGGAGCATAGCAGGTAGGAAGAGTGGGTGAAGCTGAGGTGACAAAGGTGACTTCACAATGATGACTTCACACTGAAAGCTATTCCCTAAGCATGGAAGGGCTCCCCTACTTTTCCAAATTCTTAATTATCAATATGCAAATCAAGAGCTTCTTTTTTTTTTTTTTTTAAGATTTTTATCTATTTTTCTTGGAAAGTCAGATTTACAGAGAAGAGAGATGGAGAGAAAAATCTTCCATCTGCTGATTCACTCCCCAAGTGACCACAATGGATGGAGCTGAGCAATCCAAAAACAAGAGCTTCTTCCAAGTCACCTATGTAGGGGCAGGATCAAAGGCTCTGGACCAATCCTCTACTGCTTTGCCAAGCCACAAGCAGGGAGCTGGAAAGGAAGTGGAGCAGCCAGGATGCGAACTAGTGCCCATGTGGCATCCTGCAACATGCAAGGCAAGAACTTTACCCACTAGGCTATCAGACCAAGCCCGCAGGCTCGTACTTTCTATTCCTGCTGGAACAAAAGCTAAGAAAGTGGGTAAACGTGTTATCTTTAAAAAAACAAAAAAAAAGGAATAACTTTTATGTATCTGTTGATTTGGGACTAATCTGTTTTATTCATATGAGTTATTTTTCTTTTTGACAAGATTATAATAAAGGCCTCATGGAAAAATAAACTTCTTCTAGAAAAGACCGAAGGAAAATCAGTCCCACAAGACAGTAGAATATATTATAAAACAATAATAATCAAACAGTTGGCATAATGTTGAAATAGACCAGACTGAAGTCTGAAATACACGGAAACAGAATTGGCATTTAATTTATGATAAAGGTGACATTTCAAAGTAATAATGAGATATCTCATAAATGATATTATGATAACTGGCTAGAATTTGGTATGTGTGAAGGAGGCTGTAGTATTTACTCATAAGTTTTACCAGGATAAATCCCAAATGCATTATAGACTTAAATCTTAAAGGTGCGACTGTAACAGTACAGGAAGAAAAGCCAGTGCCACAGCAGATCAAACCTGTCACCTGTGGTGCCAACATCCCATTTGGACATTTCTGAAAGACCTGGGTACTCCACTTCTGAGCCAGCTCATTGCTGACAGGCCTGGGAAGGCAGCAGAAGATGGTTCACGTGCTTAGGAGCCTGCCAATATGTGGAGGAAGCTCCAGGTTCTTCCTTTTGGCTTGGTGTATAAGTAAAAAAATGTATCTTTAAAAATTTTTTAAATGCCAGAGGAAAACTTGGACAAAGTTTATGAAACATTGGAGTTGTGGTAGATCTTTGTAAATAGGTCACAAATCCCAGAATGAAAAGTCAAAATATTGAGGATAAAGTAATCCTATAGTTGTTAGTCTGTATGTTCTTTAATACCAAGTGTAAAAATTTAAATAGAATGGAGAACAAAAGTAAAATGTGTGTAAATCTCCCATTTCAAAATAATTTCTTATATGTTGTTCCAGAAAGTAGGTTTATTACTTTGCATATGTGTTCATTTTTAAAATGCACACCAATTCAGAGCCTGGTGTAATGGCCTAGTGGCTAAATCCTTACCTTGCATGCCCCAAGATCCCATATGGGGATCCCATATGGGTACTTCTTTGTGTTCCGGCTGCTCCACTTCCCTTCCAGCTCCCTGATTGTGCCCTAGGAAAGCAGTTGAGGGCAACCCAAAGCCTTGGAACACTGCACCTGTGTGGGAGATGCAGAAGAGGCTCCTGGCTCCTGGCTTTGGATCAGCTTGGTTCAGGCGATGGCAGCCACTTGTAGATCTTTGTCTCTTCTGTCAATCTGACTTTCCAATAAAAATATAAAATCTTTTTAAAAAAAGATCATGCTCTACAGCTATTTGAAACTTACTTTATTTAAGTCTTATATTTTGGACCTCTTTCAAAATTATTACATGTAAGTTTTTTTGTGTGTGTGGCTTGTTTTGTTTTTTTTTTTTGTTTGTTTGTTTTTGTTGTTACTCTGTGTGTCTGCACAATTCAGGTTGTTTTTAGTCTCTTTTTTCTTTTTTTAGAGATTTTATTTATTTGTGTTGGAAAGGCAGATATACAGAGAGGGGGAGAGACAGAGAGGAAGATCTTCCATCCGGTGGTTCACTCCCCAAGCGGCTGCAATGGCTGGAGCTGAGCCAATTTGAAGCCAGGAGCCAGGAGCTCTTTCGGGTCTCCCACATGGGTGCAGAGTCCCAAGGCTTTGGGCTGTCCTTGACTGCTTTCCCAGGCTACAAGCAAATAGCTGGATGTTGAGTGGGGCCACTGGGATTAGAACGAGTGCCCATATGGGATCCCACTGTGTTCAAGGTGAGGACTTTAACCACTGTGCTATCGCACTGGACCCTAGTCTTAAATTTTTCAGCTGATAATTTGACACTGGAAGATTCATTTCTTGATTATTATTATTTTAATTAAGTGTAGACTACTACTGTTTCACTTAATGATTTTTGCTTTGAAATTTATTTTTTTTTTACTAGTAATGCTGCCTTTTCAGAATACACTAAGTGGTTTTTTCTTTGTTTTAATGCTTTCTATAGCATCTGGTATTTGATGCATTTTATGTCAGAGAACTTTTAAGATATTGCCTTACTATGTTCTGACATCTGATGTTTGCTAGTGAGAAATCTGGTGCTTATATGATTCTAATTTCTGTTGAAGCAATTGATTTAATTTCTTTCTGTCTTGACAATATTTTTGAATTTTAAAAAAATTGCAAAGTTTTCATATGGTATACCAACATGAGTCTTTTCAAATTTGTCCTGTTCTGTATTCACTTGGTTTTTTTGAGAACCTATATTTTTCTTCAGCTCTGAGCAGCCTCATTATTTTGTTTTCCTCCAGTTTTCTGTTTGCTGCTAGCATAATTGGCAAATTATACAGATCAAATCAGTTAAAAATGTTTTTGGCTTTAAGTAACAGCCCTGTTAACAGTGGTTGAAGCAAATGAATGATAATTTCTGTAAAATGAATAGTTACTGTTTGTGTATATTTGTATGGCAGAGAAATGAGCACAGTTTAAATTAAAGCACTCCTCTTTATCACCCAGCCTCCCCCCCCCCCAATCTTTTTTGCCTTTTGTACATTCTTCGGTTTCTTTCTGGTTTTAAATTGCTACAGCAGTCAGCAGACTGATTCTTCAGGCCAAATTCAGGGAGCTGCTGTGACATCTTCAGCAGGTGTTGAGATCACAAATGAGAAACAAGGCAAAAAGAAGAGTAAAACTACAGTGAATGTTGTACTGAAGCCAAATGCATTGGACCAAACTTGTATTCATCCGGAATCATATGACATAGCAATGAGGTAAGTCTGGGGCCCGTGGGGGGAGGCCACATGCCCAGAGCGAGTTCTCTGCTGCAAACGGCCTTTGTTTTGGCATAAGGGAACCAGAAAAGTATGACCATGTTTAACATGACAACATTTTTCAGAAGTTCCGCATTGCCGAGTTATGTGGCACATTATTTTGTTTCAGTGAGAAATGAAACCATTATTCCTGGAGCAATGTCAAGCTAATAAACCCTGCTTCTAATGGGGAAGTGTGTGTAATGGAAATTGCATGGCACTCTCTTCTGTTTGTTTTAGAAATTAACAAGACGCAATTGACTAGCACCTGGCATAATGCTTGTGCTTTTGGAAAGATAAAGCCTTTTTAGAAAGTAAACAGCCAACTCGGGTTTCCTGAGAAATATCAGCCTGATGAGTTATAATGGAGTCTAAAGAGTGGTGCAGTCGCAGGGAATTTTTATTTACACAAACTGATATGAAATTTTCAGTCATAAGGGGAGCCGTATGTGTGTGAAGCCTTAAAAGAGAAGAAAATGCTTTTTAATAGCACATTTATTTAGCTTTAAAAAATTTTAATTAGTCCAAACAGAGTGGCATGTTACATAACCAAAAATTCTTACTGAATTATACAATAGGTGATACTAAAATAGTGAATATTTTAATTTTCAGCAAGTCTAAATGAGATCTTTTGTTTTAAAATCATTTGATTATTTTAGTAAATAACTCATTTGCTTTCTTCTGGAAATCTTTAGAATTTTAAAAACTGTAACACGCAGAAAAAAAGAACAGAAGAGTAAAGCATACTAATCAACATCAAAACATTGCTTCATTTTCTCCCCAGGTCATTTCTTATTAGAAATAAATATGCAGGAAAGTTAGAAAACTTACAGTATATTCCTCTGTACCCACACTTCATTTTTTTATCACTAACATTTATCATTAACTGCACCTGTTTTTCCATCTGTTTATGTGTTAGTCTGTATGTGAAAATTTCAGAAATCAACTCACTCCCTACTAAATACCTCAGCCTGCGTATGATTGACTACAGTTAAATAATTTTTGGTAGTTTTTTATATATGTTTTTGAGTTAAAATTCAGATGCCATTGAATTTCATGAATACCAACATCTGTGTGATACAAACCCCCATCTAGGTAAAGAATATTACTGATGTCACTAAATGCTTCCTTGTTCTCCTTTGTTCTCACTCATAGAAGTAACTACTCATTGTGATTTTTTTCTACCAAAGATTATTTTGTTTCTAGACTTCATGTAAAAAAAAAAATCAGTATTTTCTTTTGTCTCAAGCGTCTTTCAATAAATGTGTATAGGTTTATCCATATTATAGTTCCTTTTTTTAAAAAAAATATTTATTATTTATTTGTTTATTGCAAAGTCAGATATACAGAGAGGAGGAGAGACAGAGAGGAAGATCTTCCATCCAATGATTCACTCCCCAAGTGACCACAGCAGCCGGTGCTGAGCCGATCCAAAGCCAGGAGCCAGGAACTTCTTCCAGGTCTCCCACACGGGTGCAGGGTCCCAAAGCTTTGAGCTGTCCTCGACTGCTTTCCCAGGCCACAAGCAGGGAGCTGGATGGGAAACAGGGCCACCGGGATTAGAACTGGCACCCATATGGGATCAAGGCGAGGACTTTAGCTGCTAAGCCACCACACCAGACTCACTTGTTCCTTTTTTATTGCTAAGAATATTTCATTGAATGATTATAACACAGTTCTGCTGATGGAATCTAAGGGATACTGGAAAACCCAGTTTTTCCTGTTCTGTACTCTCAGTACAATGTAGAAAATTTCTCTGATTCATAGTGTTCAAAATATATGGGAAGTTCTCTCTACCAAGACCCAGTCACTTCCTAGCATATCCTCCAGCAGACCCCAGGTAGCTGATCTCCAATTCCGTTTAGCTCTGACACTGTCTACTTGGCAGTAGCATCAATCTCACAATTTGAGGGCATAATATCAAAAGTCAGACCTCTGTGTCTTCAGAACCAGCCACAAGCATAATTGTGACCTATACTTATAAGAGACCTGCAATAATCAAGGTTCCTTGATCCTTTCCCTATATTCCATTAATTTATCAGCTCATAGAACTCGGGAATCACATGTTATGCTTACGAGTTTTTTATAATGAGATATAGAATCAGGAGGTCAGAGCTTCCATACTCTGTCAAGGGTATGCCATCTTCCTAGCACTTTTGTGTTTTCAGCTTTCTGGAAACCTAACAAGACCCTACCCCTTTGGAGCACAGTTGCCTATTTCATTGGCCAGTGAACAGCTCAGCCTCCAGCCAGCCAGCCCCTCTGCCTGCCTCAGAATTTGGGGGCTGGGGTTGAAAATTCCAGTGCTCTGTGACATGATTGGTTTTCCACCTGCAGGCTCTTGAAGCTATCTAGGAACACCAGCCATTCATTATTTTGCAGTTTTAGGTGTTTTTGGTTTTTTTTCCCCCCTAGAAAGGGAAGAACAAATATGTATTTCCCAATATCACATGGAACTTTGACTATTTCCAGTTTTGGAGGGGGTGTTTTAAGTAGAACTGTTGCGAACATTCTTGTATAGTATTGTGTTGCTGTTTATATTTGTGTTCATTTATCTTGGGGAAAAATACCTGAGAGGAGTTGCTGAGTTATAGGCTACATGGTTGTGTAGTTTTCTGATCAACTTCAGTTATACCATTTTGGATTTTTCCTGTGCTATTGTAGTATATGTAGTAGTAGCTATGTAGCTTTAGTGTGCATTTTAAAGATATTCTTATTAACCACCGGAGTATCTTATTTTTAAAAATAGTCTCGTCATGTCACTTGGCTGTTTTCTAATTGGGTTGTTCAGTTTTTATATTAATCTTTTGCAGTTTTTTTAATAATAGTTTTTATACATTAGAAAGCTCCTTGTCAAATATGCTTCACAAATCTTTTTTTCCAGTTTTCATTTTTGTAGTGGTATCTTGTTGAATAGAAATTATTAGTTTTATTGGTGTCTGATTTATCAATTTTTGAATATTATAGTTACTGCATTTCATTTTCTAAGAACCTAAAATCGGACCTTTCTCAAGTTATAAATGCACCTACCATTGATTTCTTTTTTTTTTTTTTAAGATTTATTTATTTATTGGAAAGTCAGACATACAGAGAGGAGAAGAGATAGAGAGGAAGATCTTCCATCCGATGGTTCACTCCCCAAGTGAGCACAACGGCCGGTGCTATGCCGATCTGAAGCCAGGATCCAGGAACTTCTTCCAGGGCTCCCACACGGGTGCAGGGTCCCAAGGCTTTGGGCCGTGCTTGACTGCTTTCCCAGGCCACAAGCAGGGAGCTGGATGGGAAGCGGGGCTGCCAGGATTTGAACCAGTGCCCATATGGGATCCCGGGGTGTTCAAGGTGAGGACTTTAGCCACTAGGCCATGCTGCCGGCCCCTACTATTGATTTCTTATAATAATTTGATGCTTTTAGCCTTTACATTTAGTGTGTAGCACATCTGAAATTCCTTTAGTGTATGATTTGAAGTAGGAAGTCATGGTTCATTGTCTTTTTCCATTATGATTATTCTGTCATCTGAGCACCATATTTGGAAAAACTAATGAGGCAAGCATTTGGCACAGTGGTTAATACCCCACCTGGGATGCCTGTATCCCATATTAGAATGCATTGCTTTGAGTCATGCTTCTACTCCCAATTCATCTTCCTTCCAATGTGTACCCTGGGAGTTGGCCAGTAGTAGCTCAAATACCTGAGTCCCTGACCACGTACCAGGAAGTCCCAGATTGAGTTCTGGATTCCTAGCTTCAGACTGGTCAACCCTAACTGCTGTAGGTACTTGGACAGTGAGCTAGCACATGGAAAATGTAAATTAGAGGGGAAAGCTTTTTTTTACCCATGCTTTGAAACCCTTGTTAAAAATCCAATGACTAGATGGTTGTGGGTCTGTTTGTGGCTATTCTATCTTTTGATCTAATTTTCAATCCTTATATCAACTACATTTTATTGTGATTTTCTCATTGTATTAAGTTTTGAGGTTAGATTTGTTACTGCTTCATTTTTTTTCTTTTTAAAAACTGAATCGAATATTTTAAATGTTTAGTGTTTGACTCAGCTTGTCATTACCGTTTTTTTAGAAGCATGGAATGTTGGCACCACAGGCAGCTTTACCCACTGTGCCACACAGTAACTCCAATATTCTTTATGAGTATAGTACTTTGTATTTATGATGATTCTGTTTCATCACCAATCATAATGTGCATGACACTGTGGCAAGAGTTGAATATAAAAATGGAGGTGGTTTATTCCCTCAAGGAGCCCACCATAATAGGAAGGATACAACTTATACTCACAGATACCAAAATAGAGGACAATAATTACTAAGTGCCCTCTGTGAAGCACGACGGTTATTCAAGGAGAAAGGGTTTCATTTCAAGATAGAGGAATCCTGTAAGATTCTATAGAGAAGGTTACATTTGGTCTAGATCTAAAGACTTAGAATTTCAGTCCATAGAGGAAAAGAAATGTGTTAAAGTAGGGGATAGGAAAATATAGTTCAGGTCCATTGGAGAAGTAGTTGATGGTCCAGTAGAAGTAAACATTTACTATGGACCGTGTTGATGTGAGGTGTATGAGGAGCATCATCTTGTTTAAAGCTCACAGCACCTGTGAGGTCAGTGCTGTTACCATCCCCACTTCCATAGAAGCACAAGGCCTTGGATGGGCTGAGTGAAGTGTTTAAGACAACTTGGCTAGTTGAACCAAGATGTGAGCCGGTATGTGTTATTTCAAAGTCTGGACTGTTGAGGAAGTTACAATTGAAAAGCTAGCTTAGAGCCAGTTTTGAATGTGACCAAACTTGTCTTTCAACTTAAGGGCAATGTACCTTTAAAACAAGTGTATGTTGTTCAAGGTGGAAAACAAAATTGTGTGCTTCTTAAAGAAGAAACCTTAAATCCTGGGACATGCTGGTTTTGAGTGCTACTCTGTATCTTTGCATGACTGGAATTAGATTCTGCCTTTC